ATTTATCGATTTTTCTCGGCTCTTCCTGTTTTTTTTTCGGTTCTGTGACCACCCTGTATTAATATTCAGATCCCCTACAAATTTGAACGGTGCTGTGTCATTAGGCCGCATTACCTTGGGCAACATGGGTCATGAGGCCAACGTATGTTGGATCGAATGGGTTATTAGCACAGGGTGTTCTTTGAAAGGTCATGGACTATGGAGGCCAAGCGGAATAAAAGCCACTCTCGCTCTAGTGCCATTCTCGGAATTAAATCTAGCAGGAAAAAAACTATAAGGGACAGCCCTATGGGGTTGTACGCAATGATGACGGCGGACTACGTGTTCTTATATAATAAATGATTTTTTTTTTAACTACAGCAGGAACTTGTATTTTGTGTAGGAATAGCTCAAAGTTCTCTCTCTTTATACTCTTTAATATGACTATCATTGCTCTGAAAAGAATCTTTTGATATGAAGTTTAGATGGAACATGTTTGTGTAAATTCAATCAGCGATTCAACCGGTTCAGATGTGACACGCTGAAAGTAAGAAACAGTTTGTTACCAAGTACCAGAATTTTCCGGTCCATGAATAGTTTGCTGTTTCTTTGTTTTCTCTGGCGAGTTCGGCTGGTCTTCTGCTTCTGGTCGTACATAAAAGTCTTTATTAGAGCAGCAATTTGCTGCTTGCAATTGCATGAACCAGAAATGGCAGACGGACGGCTTCCTCTCAAACGGCGAGTCAACGTTGTCGTCTTCAAAATTTTGAAGATAATAATGACGATGAAATGTGATTCACCTGAGAGATGATACTACAGGGAAAGCCTGTGATGCAATTCAATAAATAATACGGCACTGGACATCGAACGAAACACTAGATGCTAAAGACACCACCCAATGGGAGGAGTTTCGGTCAGCTACTGTATGGACGAAAGCAACAATTAAAGGCATATCAGCTGAAGTCCCTCCTCTTTTTACGGGTTTGTCCCTTGTCAATCGGACATGAAAAAATAATCAATTTTTCGAAAGCGAGAAATTCAAACCCCACCCATTTTTAGTATTTTATCATACACTTTATATGCTGTGCCTTTCAACACTAAATTATGCGTTTTATAGAAACAGCCGGTAGGATATCAGTGTCGACCCAGTTAAAGCTCCTCCCCTTTTTAGTCCGGTTAAACTCCTTCTCTCAACAAGTTGGTAAATATTAGCCTTTAGCAGAAAGGCACTTAACACTTTTTGTGACGAATTTATGATCATGTTTCACGTCATGTGTTATCTTTACCTGTTCAGATAAATTAGTACTTTTATTTAATTTCTTCACTGCACTAAATCAAACGAGTAGAAATAAGAATGATGTCGGTTACGCGTTCGAATAATTGAAAATTAGATAAATATTTAATCGGATAGCTGGAAAAATCTTTACAATTAATAGTTATTCGAATCGTTGGACTTTTAAGCATTCCTAGAAAATAGTGTAATTTCATGTTTTTTGGTGGTCCTTCAAAAAAAGCGAACAGCAGAATTGTAACCAGCAAGTGTAACCCAAGAACCAAAAGCAGTACGATGCTAGTTTTTATTGCTATGACGAATACTGAATTAAGGGGCTTAGAAGCAGAGGGGTGAAAGTCAATTCTCTTAGTCGATTTCCTCTTTTGATGACCATGACTTCACTAACCTATTACGAACTATTTCTGCTATGCTCTTCTATCATCCAGAACAACAAACGTATCAATGAATGTGTTTGCCGTCGAGTTATTAACGAAATAGAAACGATGCAGAGAATCGATCAAAATCACTTGCACCCCTGCTTCCAAGTTAGGTTACAAGATTACAACTCTGGAGAGCATTTTGTGTGGTCATTGGAGGCGTGTGGTTCTGAATGTGGCGATGAGTGTGCAAAATGTTGCGCAATTACATCCTCCCTATTCGCACAAGCCCGAAGATCGGAGGCAAATGCCACTTCGACTTGTTTCGTCTACTAACAACTCTCTGATGACTGTGTTGGGGAAGCAGCATATGCATGTACGTAATTGGTGGATTTGTTAGTTATTTCGACGCTTTTGGACAATGCTTGACATTTACAGACTTTTTCAATAGTTTCTTGTTGAAAATCAACAGTCAGAAACATTTTTATCGATGGAGGGAAATATTTCTGATCGATCGGTGATACAATTATTGAAATTGGTCCAGCGACAGCTGAGTTATTAACGTTCAAAATCTTTCATAATTTCGTTACATGTTCCATTTTCGGTTTTCACAAAGTGTACCCCCATATAGAAATCACAGGCGTAGCCCTACGTCAAAAACTAATAACACTCTAGAATTGCATCCAATTGAGTTGCCATCTTCAGTGAAGGATTTGTTAGGACCTGTAGGACAAAAGTAAATATTTGATAACTTTTTTCACAGTAGTCCAATCAATTTGCGGTATTGAACAACGTTGTTCTACTTAGTTTTCCCAAGTGCAATCTTATATTTGATCAAAATCTAGCAATTTTTTTTATTTTGAAAAACAACATAATTGTTTTGCTATATTTGTTTAAATAAAACGTATTGTTTGATTCCAAATCAAATATCTTAGTGGCTGAAAGTCTGCTTGTAATCCTCGATCAAAGCACGTTTCTGCTGTTCATCTTCAATCCACTCAAACGACGACGATATTTTTTAGTTTTCTAAAAATAATATAATTGACTTGGAAAAGATTGAATTGACCACTCCGGATGATAAAAGTGTTGTTATGAACGAATATTCAAAAATTAATACTAAAACCGTGAATTTCCGGTAAATTTAATAAAACTTCGTACATCTCAATTGTTTGAAGATGTATAGCTTTTATATCTTCCACAACTATTCTTAAAATTTTACGTTTAACAACTTTGCCTAAGACAGCAAACCTTTATCTTGCGAAACGAAAAAGTGAACCCAAGTGATACCAACACTTGAACTATTTTCATCCATCAGTTCTAACTAATTAGTGTTACCGTGCCGATTCAAATTTCGGACACTTAAACTCGAATTTCGGACACTTTTAAAAGTTGATTATCTCGGTCGAATATGATCCACATGTCTTGTAAATTTTAATTTTTTTTTTGACTAGTGCCCTCCACGATCATCTAACATTATTACTTTGTTTCTAACTGGATGTAATATTTAATTAAAAATGAAAGTGTCCGAAATTTGAATCGTCCGAAATTTGAATCGTCCGAAATTTGAATCGGAACGGTATATATTTTTCCCTGCTAGATTTTATTCCTGGCCCACTTCATTTTACTGACAGTGCTCTTGCTCTATTGCCACTTCCGCCCACTGCCACTCGAAATAACTGCTCATGTTTAAAAGAAGCCAAAATACTCGATAAAAATTTTTTAGGAATAAATTATGAAAAAAGAAATCACGAGAACAATTTTATGAAAAAATTCTTATAAAGTAATACATGCAAAAATGAATAAAATAAAAACCTGGAGTACTATCATTCAGAAGAGTAATATTCCTTGGAATAAGTGGTCATGTTTAAGAAAAGGGAAAATCTCCTCAAAATGATGCATGAAAACAAAGCCAAACATCAAAAGTACAGTATGCTTTGAAAGAACTGGTTATTTTTTAAAGAGATTAACATATCGGCCTGATTTTGTAGAGTCCATTTTTCCATCACACTTCGAAATTTCAAGAGCACACAACTCAAGATCTACGAGATTCATACATCTGCAAATTTCAGACATTGCTTGCTTCTCCAAAGCAAACAACAAGTAGTAGTTTCTCAGCAACGTGCATTCACAGAAACTTTAATATTTTTGCATGCGAAATTGCGAAATGTAACACGAAAAAAGACGCTACAGGGAATCACCTTAATGAGGGATACAATCAGGAAAAGTTTTTATGGGTAAACCTTACATAAGGTTCACTAAAAAATGCGAAATATTTATCTTTTTTTTATCATATATTTTCATAACTTCATACAATTTCACAAAACATACATTGAACATTAAATACATTAAACATTGCAAATAGTCGAATCGGTAAAACTTTATTCATCCTCTGAGGTTGCTGTCAGCTAAGAACCCATTCGGCCAAACGTTCTAAGGCCTAACGTACTTCGGTCTAATAATCTGACACCAATTTGACCAATTTGGGAAGAATTTTAAAGTTTGTATGGAAAAATGTATGTTAAGGACAAGATAGGTGGAATCCATAAGTGGTCAATGTACGGCTGATTATCTATGTAAAATCAGTCATGATAACGGCCATTTGTGGATTCTATAAATATTATCCTTAAATGAAAATAATATACGAGTTTGCTTGTCAAACATGTACATTCCGCCGGTGGTTCAACTGACAATTTTTGTCCAGAGCTGTGGAATTGGATTCGTAGTCGAACGCATGTTTGAGCATAAGGAGTCGAAGTCGGAGTCGGCCCGTTGAAAATATAAACTTTTATTGTTCTGGTCCAATCTATTCTCGAACGAACAGTTTGTGTTCTTAAGAGCCGTCCACTTTCTTGTTTAACAAACCGCGCATGTTAATACTATCCATACGTCCACCAAGTCCAAGAATTTGTAGAAACTGGAAAATGGAAAAGTTTGTGGAGTACCACAAACGTTACGCAAGTTGTGAAAGTTTGCGTTTTTTAAACCGGCAAACAAACAAGCAACAGGTGATTCTACCGTACTATTCCGCAGAGTTTACGCTGCGACAGCTTCGCATATATACAAACGCGCTTGTGCACGACAGAATGTATATTTCTTCTCCGCGGAGGTTTGTGGTTTGTGTATTTATATGCAAACATCACGATCAGCCCGCACGGCACGGTTGAGATCGCTGAGTTGCACATCTAGCCCCAAACCAGCCAGCTGTAAGTGGTGTGTTGTTGTGGGGTCTGCATGCTGATGTGTGTGTTGCTGGTGGAGGCCCTCTGTATTGGTCCACGCTCGGTGTGCTAGTGCTTACGCGATCGCATGGAAAGAGAAGGAAAGGAAAACACCCCGCGCGCACAGTCGAGCTTATTATATTGTTCAAGAGCTATTTCAAAATAATTCAAACGTTTCGCGACTGTTCACCAGTACGGACGTCCAATCAGCCAAGCTAAGCTTCCCAGAAGTTGATCGCTGTTTCTCAACTCGGTTCTTACTTGTCGACTTCTGTTCCCCTTTGGAGAGATTCTTGGAAGGTGTTTGCTTCCTGGAAACGAAAAGTGTCGCGACGAAGATAGTGCGACCGACAGGGAAAAGACAGGCTTATGCGATCTCCTGTTTCGCGGTAACATCCGGTTGTCGTTGTTTGATTTCCTTTTTCCTTTGAACGTGTGCGAGTCGTGAGTCCAAGAGGTTTGCCATTCGGAAACCGGAATAGAGTGCTTACGCCCGGATATATTGTGATTGAATCGAAAAGTTACTCGCGTGAAAACCACTTGCATCTTTGCGCAGTACACTCTCAACGACGTGGTTCAAAATGATGGAAAAGGAACCGGATTCGATGGCGGTCACCATGAAGCAGGATTATGCCGCCAGTGAAGTCTACAGCACAACGAGCGAGGCACCACCTGTAAGTGATATAAATTACTTTTTTTTTGTCATTCGACTGTTACAACTCTCTCGTGCTTTTCCCTCGAGTGGGTGAAAATCGGTGGAAAGCGACTAGCGAAAAAAGTGAAAATTTTCCATCCTCGGAACGGTGATCATTGAGTAGGAGGCCGTGTCGCAGTGCAACACAAATTGTTGCAACGAAACACTCGAAAAAAAAAAGCTCTCTTACATCCCAACCTATAGAGCATGCAAACGCGCACCGTCGTCGTCAGCCGAGATGTTCTTCGAACCGATGAATTTTAATTGTATTGTTTTCCGATGGAATTAAGGTCATCCATCGTTTGTGACGTTCGACGGTGCGATCTGATGCGCTGCTGAATGTAGGTACCTACATACCCATTTCAGATGATGCTGGCAGCGGCGGCTCTAATGTTGACTACCTTGAAAGCTTCCCCCGTCTCAGCGGGTTCGTCGCCATCCGATTCGTGCTTAACTGTGCTGTGTGCCTTAGAGTTGTTAGCGGAGAAGAATTCTGCCACTGAGTGTTAAAAACAACAAGTGAGCATTTAGAAGCACACGAAGCACAACACCTCTTCAATAGATGGACGGATGGATGGTTGATGGATTGTTCTTGGCGTTCGCAGCATCACATGATGACTCGTTGGGTAGGCGGGTTCGTACCCATATGGAATGTTTGCTCAAACCTAAGGTGCGAGAAAGTGTGATACGAGTAGTATAATTGAACAATTTATATAATTGGCTTTCGATTATATTAAGTTACATAATTCTTCCGAATGTTTTCACGAGATCCATTTGAGGATTTTGTAGTTGAGTTAAAACGGCACATTGAACTTTGAAAATCATACTGCGAAAGGTTTGTAAGAAAATATTGAACCTGAAAAAAGGAGTCATCAACTAATTTTTCCATTAAGATAAAGAAAAGAAAATTTCAATGCAAGAGCAGATACTGAAGTTTGATGTATTTGTAGCCTTTTATTTTCATTTATTTTTTGTATTTGTCGTTTTGTTTGCACAGTACAAAACGAGAGGCTATAGATATAAAATAGGTTTCTTAAGCAATTTAAATAAATTGTTCCACAGCTTTGTCGGATATTGTACTGGTACCATGTCCGCAGACTATATCAATATAGAGCTGGAATTAGGGCGTAACAGCTTTTGTAAACAATTACTTCTTTCGATAATGTCTTGAAAGTCAAGGTTCGCCAATGCAAATCAACATTAACATCAAATAGGGTCAGGCTTCCCCTACCCGACAGTAATGTTGGTTTGCGTGGGCGTGTCTTGAACTCCTAGAAGTCGAAAGAAGTCATTGTTTACAAAAGCTGTTACGCCCTAATTCCAGCTCTATCTAGATATATTTTTATAATGTATAAGAATCTCAAAAAAGCTGCTTCAATTGATCGGTCATTGGCCAGTGCGTTTCTAATGTTGGTCAGGATCCCATAAAGCTCCCTAATTCCCTGGAAACCTGGGCAGTTTACTAAGAGGTGGTCTTCCGTCATCGTTGTGTTGCAAATATCGCAATGTTTTCGGAACTAAATCGCTCTCCCCATATTATGGGTCGTCCGAGTATGTTCTGACCGGAGACGAGAAAGAATCAGTTGGTCCTGACGGTTTGGGGAATCCTGCCCATTGAAAAGTATTCGCTAAGTGAAACACCTTTATCAGCAATGTCAACTGAAATATTTTGCTTCCAAAACAATGGTTTCAATTAAAGTACACTTATGGGGCACTTAAAGTACATATACCGTTCACTAAGTGAAATTTAAACATAATTGACTTACGGAACATTGCGTGTTGCGAAAAATAAGCTAACATAAAAATTACGAAATTATAAAAAAAAAATTCCTTACAAAATCTGTTCATGTCGCGAAACATTACAAATTCTGCATACTTTCCATGGAAATATGTAATATAATCTTACATTTTCCTTTTGGGTATAGTAAGTTTTATAATATGATAGGGTAAATGGATGTAATGTCGGCCTAAATGCCCCTAATTTGGGCCCAAATATAAATTCAGCAATCGACTAAATTTTCAATAGCGACCAAAAATATCCATTAATGCCGTCCCAATGACGCGTTCATCGAGATAAAATTGATAAATAGCAGATTTTCAGCGATGGGCCCAATCTTAGATCCATAGGCCAACATTAGAGCCATTTCCCTTACTAAATACAGTATAATAAATGCTTCCAAGAATAATAATGTAGGTTTATGTAGAGGATGTCCCACATCAAATTGCATCACGAAAAAAAACGCTGTAGAAAATTACCTAGTTGACCGATCCTTTTCAAACTTTCAGACAATAAAATATAACCCATTAGTAAGCTTTTGGCATATTTATTTTATTTAACTTCAATACCATAACCGTACGCTTAACTTCACTCATTAGGTTCTGTACAACATCTGGCTGCAGCTTCTTCTGTACGGAAACTCACCTTTTCTCATGTCTTCCTCAGATTTGACCTCCTTGGGATGCTTCCGTACGGCCTGCTTCATAATAGCCCAGTATTTTTCGATGAGCCTTAGTTCCAGTGCGTTGGGGGGGGTTCATGTCCTCGGGTACGACAGTGACCCCGTTGGCTTCGTACCACTCCATGAGAACACTTGAATAGTGGCATGAAGCTAGATCCGGCGAGAAGATCGTAGGGCCTTCGTGTTGCTTCAACAGAGGAAGCAGACGCTTCTGTAGACACTCCTGGAGGTAGATCTCCCCATCTCCCCCCCCCGGTAGTCACGAACGGCGCACTCCGTTTGCCACATGAGCAGATCGCTTGCCAAATGATGTATTTCTTGGTACGAGTAGGGCGGTGAAGAACAGTAGCCCCGGAAGCTGCCAGAAGCCCACCTTGACGTAAGTCTCATCATCCATGATGAGACAATGAGGCTACGTCAGCATCTGGGAGTACAGTTTCCGGGCCCGTGACTTTCCCACCATATTTTGCCATTCGTTACGATTTGGAGCCTTCTGCACTTTGTACGTATGCAGTCCCTCCCGGTCCTTGCCTAGCTGAACGAAAGACTTGGACAGATTCAACTCTTTGGCCACATCCCTGACCGAAGAAATAGGATTCCTCTTAAACGCTTTCACGACACGCTTGTGATCCTGATCACTAATAGAACATCCATTCTGACCACATTTCTCCTTCCGTTCGATGCTCAGAGTATCGTAGTAACGTTTAATCACACGACTTACCGTTGACTGCACGATTCCGAGTTGTTTTCCGATGTCCCGATGAGAGGTTGAGGATTTTCCAGGTGCTTGCGCAAAATCAATTCGCGACGTTGCTTTTCGGGTGACGCCATTTTTTTCCAACTTTCGAAAAACTGACAGCGATAAACAATACACTCTAAACTACTTCTACTTAAATTTTAAAGAGAAAACACCCAATGGGTAATTTTCTACAGCGTTTTTTGCGTGATGCAATTTGATGTGGGACACCGTGTACAATAATCCAGAAAGCATATTTATGAGCGACAATACAGAACAGTATTTTTTTCATCCAAAAATTTGATTCCAGACCGATTGACAGTCGCAAAAATGAAGTCAAAACCAATCGAAACCGATCATGAATTCTTACGCTCAATTGCACATGTTTTCCGTGCCCTCCAGAACTGCTCACAGTGCAACAGAAGCTCAAAGCAAATAACATTCGCTTTTCAATTAGAGATGCAGTGACATACACACACGTGGCACCAGAAGTGTTGCTTCTTGACTGTTTGCCATTTGCTGCCGATGCTACCGATGGCCAACTTTTCTAGCCAGCGCACTCCATCACGGGGCACCACTTGTAATTGAATTGCAAACTACATCAATTCACGCCGTGACCTCTCGAGTAAAACGGCGACGAGAAAAACGGTGATGGAATTGCATTTTGGACCCTTCTGCATGATAGGAAAAAGGCCGAAGGCCCCACGTCGTCGTCATCATCGTCGTCGTTGTCTAGGGTGACCCAGTTTTCGCACGATCGAATCCAATGATCTCTGTAGGTTCTGTATTTTAAGCGGGGACCGGAGGCTTAATGAACCCCTGTGTGCACAACTAACCAGTCAAGCGTTCGTTGCTGTGGCACTCCAATGGAACCGTTTTGAAATTCAATAGATTCGAAGACGTCCGTCGTCGTCATCAGGATCGATGCTGACGCGTTGGATGAGCGGTTGCAGAGGAGTTCGACGGGCACGATTCTTGACTAATGAGATGACGATGCTCTCTGCGCGAAAGATTGGTGCTATGAGAGCCAATTAAAGCTAGCCATATTTGAACCACCGTTGGCTTGTTTTGATGAGTGCTTAGATTCGCTCGAAATTGACAGGTTCGTCTAATGGCTTCGATCGATCGCTCAACGATGTTTGCATTACCTTGAGCTGCTTCGGTACCGAATTATTCTCCTAATACGGACGAAAATATTGTGCTCTGTTTGCAAACAATCACCGCTACAGTTGGCAATCAAATATCAAACCTTCGTGGGATGGAAAGTTTTCACAGTAGACTATCACAACTTCCGGTTCAGTGATGCTGTTGTCCCATCGAGTCGTAAAATACACGATAAAATCTCACGCAATGGGCGCCAGGGAAATTTTCCATCGCTCGCAAGACGATGACAGCGCGCGGCACCAACCGGGTATAAATTGTGTGCACTTTCGCTCTCGATTATGTACCGCTTGAATGAGCCCGATATGGCGCGACAGCAAATTTCCAAAAGTGCATGGAGCCAAGAGCTGAACTCAAACAGAAAACCGGTCACCACTTCACTTCCCGGTACGGCTTGACGTAAGCGTGGGAGTTTGGGTGCAAAAAATATACTGAAGGAGATAACTTTTACTTTCGTTTCATCCAAAAATAACCGCACTAAACTGCCTTTGTCAAATAATAATCGAAAGCGGAGTGCTCAGTGAATTAATTGGATTCCGAAAACTCTCACGGCTTTCGGCCAGATTCAGAGTTTTTTTTGTTGTTGTGTGACTCTAATGTGAAGCATCTGGTTCTTTGTTTTGT